CAAAATTGACCCCTTGTCAACTTGACACACAAACACATCACTATTAAACCATAAGCTTTCCAATTCTTGTCCCCAAGATGTGTTAACATTAATAGCACAACATAAGACAGTACAACCTTAAAAATCCCACAGTCCTTAAAAAATCCAAACACTTAAAAGTCCATAGTCTCTTTTAAAAGTTTCTTAACTGTGGGTGGGCTTCTGTAAAATCCAAAACAAGTACTGTCTTATTCCAAAGGGAAGAATCGGGCACACCTAAGCAAAACCAAAGTCCAGCAAAGTAGCTCGAGGCTGGACATCTGTCTGGGATTCACTCACAATCTTCTGGGCTCCAAAGCGTACTGGCAGCTCTGACTCTGCAGTGCATAGCACTGGGTCTCATAGACCCAGGCCAGCTCCATTCCACACCTACTGCTGTCCTTGGTGGTCGTCCCATGGTCCCGGCATCTCCAAAAAGCTGGAGTTTCCACTGAAACTGAGGCTTCACCTTCACCAACGGCCTCTTTTTCCTTCTTGGGATGCAAAGGCCTCAGATTGTCTCCATGACTACTACAATCCCGGGATCTTAACTGTAACTGAAGCTGCACTTTTACCTATGGCCTTTCCTGCCCTCTCAGAGTGCCAAGCCTCAGCTGCTGTCTGTGACCCTTTCAGGCTTTCAACACCAGAACCATGCAGGAGACTCTTACACATTACCAAGTCCTGCTTCCAGGTTGAAATAGAGGTGCGGGTCCCCTTTGTGTGCGGACCCTGAAGAAATACCTCCCAGAAGACTTCACCACAGTGATGCTGGTCTGTTGTTACTTACAGCTGATCCTGCAGCCCCAGCTAACCAGCATCAATTGTCCCAGCAAAGCAAAGACCTTACTTCAGGTTCTGGTCTCTTCTTAATCACAGCTGATTCTTCAGCCCCAGCCGACCAGAACCCACAGATTCTCAATTCAAAATATCACACAAACAGCCCTGATAGTCACCGCTTCCCTTTGAAGCTTCACAAGCCAGGCCTCCAGTGTTCACAGCTCTTTCAGCAGAACTGTTCCAAGCTCCACAGCAACAAATTCTGAACACCCAACGTTGGGCTTTTCCAGCCCAAAGTTCCAAACACTTCCACAGTCCTCCCCAAAACACCAAGGTCAGGTCTGTCACAGCAATTCCCCACACTCTGGTACCAATTTCTGCCTTACTTTGTTTCTTCATTGCTGTGACAAAACACTCTGACCACTACCAACTTGGGGAGGAAAGGCTTTATTCAGCTTACATCGCCCAGATTGTAGTTCATCAGGGAGCCCAAGGCAGGAACTCAGGGCAGGAATCTGGAGGCAGGAGCTGGAGCACACACCAGAGAGGAACGCTGCTTACTAGCTCGCTCCCCAGGCCCCTGCTCAGCCTGCTTTCTTATGCAACACAGGCCTACCTGCCCAGGGGTGGCACCACCCACAGTGAGCTGGGCCCTCCTATATCACTCATCAAGAAGATGCCCCTCAGACATGGCCACAGGCCAGTCCAATAGAGGAAATTCCCCAACTGAGGCTCCCTCAACCCAGGTGTGTCAAGTTGACACTAAAGCTATCCAGCAGAGAGGCATAGCACTCATACACATAAAAATAAAATGAAAAAAGAGAGTTCTTTAAAAAACAGAAATTAGAAACTGTGTTTAGGGAGAGTGGGGGGGTTGGAATTGGTGAGGTCAATATACATTGCATACATATATGAAATTGTTAATAAGTGAGCAGAAGATTATAAAAAGAAACTAGAAAGTCTACTTTGTTGAGAATAAGCTATAGTCAAGTATAGAAAAAAAATAGGCTGGAGCCTGGTGTCCTGGCGCGCACCTTTAATCCCAGGACTTGGGAGGGAGAGGCAGGTGGATCTCTGAGTTCAAGGCCAGACTGCTCCACATAGTGAGTTCTAGGCCAGCTGGGACTACAGGGAGACCCTCTCTCAAAAAGACAAAAAAGCAAAAAAAGAAACTGAAGGCAAAGCTGGTCATGGCAGCGCACTTTGTAGGGAGAGGCTAACCAGATCCAAGAAGGTTTGTAGCAGAGCCATTGGGGTGAGAGCTAACCTCATGCTCAGGCGGCTTTGCCACCCGCCTGTTTGCGCAGGCGCATGTGGGGTGGTGGCCAGAGTGAGAGGTGGAGCTTCCGGAGCACTCTGCACTCTGCAGGCTCCTGGTTCCTGGCAGCAGCTGTGGAGGGACTGGGCTAGGTGGCCCGAGGGTGAAGTGAAAGGCGGAGCGGTGGCGGACATGAAGGTGGAAGACACGGGCATCGGCGACACGTCGGGCGGCGCTGATGGCCAGAGTGTCTGCTGCTCTCCCGGCGGTGCAGACACAGTGGCACTTGCACACTGTGGAGCTCACCAGATCGCACCAGTACCTCAAGCCTCCTGTTCCGGCAGAAACTCTAAGCCTTCCACCCAGAAGCTGGGAATCCAACCTCACAGATTGTATCCTACTCCACGCGCACAACTGGTGGCCACCTGCCTGTGGCGGGAAAAGGGGGAGTGTGGGGAGTTGGGAAAGAGCAGACAGGAGGAGGAAGGGAGCAGGGGAAGCTGCTATTTGGGGTATGTTGGCTGGGGGTGGTCTGTGCTTAAGAACAAACGTCTTGAGCACAGAAGACGAACAAGACGGTGGTGGGGAAGCAAGGAGGGATGGCCGGAACAGTGTGGAAGGAATAGCCTGGGGAGCTTAGACCCCACATGATTGTTTCAGGGGGCCTAGGAGGCAAAGTCCACAGCAGATGGTGCCTTTCCTGAGTCTCCACCAGCGTCCTCACGGTGCCTTTCCCGACCCCTTTGGAAGCAGAAATTGCCTATGGGTCCCTAGCTGCGGACACTGAACCGCACCAAACACTGGTGGGCAAGGAACTCAAAGTGAACGGCAGCATCCTGGCGGTGTAAGTGCTGGAGAAGGGTGGCATATGGGGTCCATTCTCCACCCAGGGCTGCTACCTTGGAGACCGTAAGAGACACACAAGGGTGACTTCTAAGGGAAAGGCATGATGCACTGGATCAGTCTCTACCTGAGGGATTCTCCAGAGTTTGGTCTAATGGATGGGATGCCCGAAGGGAGAGGAAGAGAGGGTAGGAGTTAACATTTCCAGGTAGATGTTCTCTTTTGTTTGTTGTTTGTTTTGTTTTGGGGGGACAGAGTCTACCTGTATGTAGCCCCAGCTGGCCTAGAACTCACTATGTAGACCAGGCTGACCTTGATCTGACAGAAATCTTCCTGCCTCTGTCTCCAAAAGGCTACAATTAAAAGCATGTATGGGGGGGCGTGGTAGCGCACGCCTTTAATCCCAGCACTCGGGAGACAGAGGCAGGCAGATCTCTGTGAGTTCAAGGCCAGCCTGGTCGACATAGTGAGTTCCAGGGCAGCTGGGGCTACAGGGAGACCCTGTCTCAGAAAGACCAAAAAAAAAAAAAAAAAAAAAAAAAAAAAAAAAAAAGCATGTGCCACCATACCAAGCTTAAAGTTAATGTTCTTTTTCTTCACTCATAGACACTGGACTTCTGAAGACTCTCGCCTCCTCCGAATTTCCATCATCAACTTCCTTGACCAACTTTCCCTGGTAGTGAACACTATACAACGCTTTGGGCCCCCAGTTTCCCGCTGAGCCTGGGCTGGGCAAAGGGGCTCATTTGCTCCAAAAGTGTGTCTTTCCCTAGAGCAAAATTCCTGAAGTGGTAGCTGCTACTAAAGTGTGGGGGCCTAGATTGGCCCTCAGGTACTTAGGATCCTTTTGCTTGGTCTGGTGTTTAATGTTGCTGAAAAAATAAAACTGTACTAATCTGCATATAAGCTTTTTAGCCTCTGTGCCTCTACATCTTCTTAACTTTTTCCTTATGTTGGAAGGGAGATTGTGGAATTCAGCTATTTATTAGTACAAGATAAGAGCGTTTTCCTAATATGTGAGTTCTTCACACAATCCCCAGCACTGAAAAAAAAAAAGATATTAGTACAAGGTATTTGAAGACAATTTCAGAAACAGAAGAACATTAATACTATGCGCATCTTCTCTTTCAGGACTCACTATTGTTCCCATTTTGGAAACTCTTGGTTTTAGAGTTTTATTAATATAGTAAATTTATAGCAATATCACAAGGCTCCACGTCTAGTTGAGCAGTTATTGGCAGTTAGGGAAGGGGAAGTCAGTTTTCTTCAGTGTTGTAGCCACTAGTAAGTTACCTATACTCCAGTAAATAACTACACACCGATGCTCATGTAAGCAACCCTAATTAAACTCAGTGGATCACAAAAGAAAGACATGAAAGTAGGAAGAAGCTGTTGGAAAGAAGGGGTTCCAAGGAAGAGCGATCAAGAGAGGGTAATAGGGAGTGAATATGATCAAAATACATTATATACACATATGAAATTGTCAAAAAAATTTTTTTTCAGACAAGGTCTCCTTGTAGCCCCAGCTGGCCTGGAACTTGCTATGTAGATTGGGCTCGCCTCAGTCTTACAGAGATCTGCCAGCCTCTGCCTCCCAAGTGCTGGGATTAAAGGCGCACACCACCATTCCTGGCATCAAAGAATATATATATTTTTTAATTTATCAGGACTGGAAAGATGACTCAGCAGTTAACAGCACTGGCTGCTCTTGCAGAAGACCTGAGTTTGAATCCCAGCACCCACATGGTGGTTATTAACAACCACCCATAACTCTAGTTCCAGGGCATCTGATAGCCTCTTCTGTCTTCTGTGGGCACTGTACAACATAGGTGTACTTACATACATGCAGGCATAACACTCATACACACAAAATAAGAATAAATAAAATTTTTAAAAGAAAAATAAGCCAGGCATTCTGGTGCACACTTTTAATCCCAGCACTTGAGAGGCAGAGGTAGGTGGATCTCTGTGAGTTTGAGGCCAGCCTGGTCTATATAATGAGTTCCAGAACAGCTGGGATACAGGGAGACCCTGTCTCAAAAAAAAAAAAAAAGAAAAAGAAAAGGAAAAAAAATAAGATAAATCTTTCCAGATGTGGTGGCTCAGGCCTTAATCCCAGCATTCAGGAAGCAAGACAGGTGAATATCTGTGAGATGGAGACCAGCCTGGTCTACATAGCAAGTTCCAGGCCAGCTGGCTCCGTGTATCAAAAAATTAAAATAGTAATAATAATGATAATAAGTCTTTTTAATTTTTTTATTGAGCTTCTATATTCTCATACAACAGTTCTCAATCAAACCCAGACCCCCTCCCCATTCATGCCCCCCATCCCCCCACTGGACCCGAGGCACTCCCCCACACATGGTAGGTCCTATCCAGTCAAGCATTATAAGATAAATCTTTAAGACAATTTTTGGAGACAATTTCTATCCAAGATGGCCTTAAGCTGGTCTCCCTATTTCAGCCACCCCAGTGCCTACACCCCCAAACTTGGATCACTTCTTTCTTGGTTCATATTTTATAGACAATGTATAAATGGGAAGAATCTCTTTTATAGTACTATTCATTCTCCCATTATGGTTCTAGTAGTCTTTTTTTTTTTTTTTTTTTTTTTTGAGACAGGGTTTCGCTATGTAGCCCTGACTAGCCTGGAACTTGCTAGTTGGACCAGACTGACCTTGAAACCATAGAGTTCTACTTGTCTCTGCCTCCAGAGTGCTGAGATGAAAGATATGTGCTGCTGACACACCCAACTATTTTATTATTTTTAATTACCTGAATGTGGGGGGTGGGTTATGTGCATGTGAGTGCCCATGGAGGCCAAGAGAGTTCCTGGAGCTGCAGGTAGTTGTAAGGTTTAATGTGCACGCTGAAAAGTGAACTTGGGCCCTCCAGAAGAACAATATGTACTTTTAACTGCTGAGCCATCTCTTAACAGCCCCCTGGGTTTGTGGGGGACATAGTATCCCCTGTAGCTCCACCTGGCCTGCAACTCCCTATATAGACCAGGCTAGACTTGATCTTACAGAGATTCACTGGCCTTTACAGTGCTGGGATTAAAGGCATGCTCAGCCCCCAACCCCTGATTTTTTTAAAGTTTTTATTTTTTGTCTTTTTTGAGACAGGGTCTCCTTGTAGCCCCAGCTGTCCTGGAACTCACTATGTAGACTAGGCTGGCCTCGAACTCACAAAGATCAGCCTGCCTCTGCCTCCCAAGTGCTGGGATTAAAGGCATGCACCACCACACCCGGCTAAAAGTTTTTTTTTTTATTAAATTTTTGTGTATTTCATACAGAAAGTCATTTTTATACCCCCCTCCTCTTTGGTACCCTCCCATAGCACCCCCACTGGAGTTCATACCTTCTATCGTTTGTGTTAGGGCCTATCATGTAAAGTTAGTTTCCTAGATGCCCCTCAGTGCAAGTTCATACACTGGGATCTAGTCAGCCTATCTAGAATCCCTCCCTTTAAGAAGATCAGCTCATTTTTACCCAGCAGTAATCAACCACCAATAATTCTTTGACTAAGATTGAGGCCTGCCATTCATTTCCACAGTTCTGTGCTGGGTTTTTGTCTGCTTAAGTTTGCATGGGTCTTGTGTATGCTGACACTATTGCTGTAGGTTCATATGAGTCCCAGGAACCTGTAGGACTATTTCCATATGGTCACGCACCTCCTCCCTGGCTCTTACAATCTTTCTGCCCCCTCTTCCACAATGATCCCTGAGTCCTGAATGGGTGGATTTTAATATAGGAGTCCTGTCCAAGGATTATTCTCTGCAGACTCTTATTCTCTGCGTTTTGGCCATCTGCGACCTTTTGCATACCTGGCCCTCTGTTGCATGAGGGAGCTTCATTGGTGAGACCTGAACGATGCATTAGTGTTCTCTTCATTCGTTGTTCTGTATTCCATGAGCCTTAGGTGTAGAGGTTGCATCCTAGATGTGCCACTTAGGCTTGGGTAATTCACAGATGATCTCTGTGTGTGACCAGTTTTGAAACTCTGTTAACTATCTCTGTCTCTTGAAAAAGAAGCTTTGATGGCCACCCCTGATTTTTATTAGACAAAGTCTCACTGTGTAGCCCTGCCTGACCTGGAACTCTCTATGTAGACCAGGCTGGCCTTGAACTCACAGAAAGCCACCTGCTTCTGCTTTTTGAATGCTAAAAGCACTTGGCCTGTGGGTTTCTTTTTTTGCCTCAAGGTTAAAAAGTACCCTGTTCTGCAGCTCTGGTTGCCTACACAAGACCTGCTTGCACAGTTAAGTCAGTCAACATTCTAGCACAGAATGGGAAGAGGTTTGTGAATTCTTGCCCATGTCTGAGGAACTGTAAACAGTGGATGGCTCTGTGGGAGGGAGAGTCAGTTTTAAGGGTTTAGCCTCTGGTAGGTTGACAAATTGCTCCAGTGGATAGCTCCACATCTAGGAACCAAACCAGGTCCTCTGCAAGAGCAGCCAGTGCTGTTAACCGATGAACCATCGCTCTTACCCCTAAATATGTATTTTAATAGCGTCTTCCCTTTGGCTTCTTTTCTGTAATTTCACAAGGGTGGATACTTTATAATGACTCTCTTGACCTGTGCCCTCTTCTGTCACGCTGGTTCTTTAGTTGTCTTTGAGATGGGTTAATGTGGCACAGGCTGGCCTGGAGCTTGTTGTGTAGCTGAGGCTGGTCTAGAATTCCTGCCTCCACCTCCCAAGTGCCGGAAGCAAGCTACCCTGTTTTATTTTTCTCGTGTGTGGTATACCATATGTGTATGTATGTATGTTCCCATGTATGTGGATGCACCTGTGTATGTGTGTGGAGGCCTGAGGTTGATGCTGGGACTCATATCACTCTCCACCTTATTCATTAAGGTGAGGTCTCTCAGTTGAACCCAGAGCTTGTTGGGTCCAATAGGGTTAGTCTGGCTAGCCAGCTTGTTGGGGGGATTTCCTGGCTAGCCAGCTTGTTGGGGATTTTTCCTTTTGAGCATTTGAATTACAAGTGGGTTGTCTAGGCAGCAGTAACATGAATTCTGGGGACCCAAACTCTGGTTTCCAAGTTTGCATGACAGGTACTTTAACTACTGAATCATTTCCCCAGTGCCACATCACCCTATTTTAAATTGCATGCTACCTTCTTCACATCTGCATCAGGTAACAATGATGGGGTAGTTCATAGGCAGGTGCAACACAATGACAGCTATAGTCCAGTGAGTTGCCACATCTTAAGAATTTTAGGTACAATTGAGGTCAGAAGAGGGTGTCGGGTCTCCTGGAACTGGAGTTATAGAGTTATGGATGGTTGTTAGCCACCATCTGGGTGCTGTGATTTGAACCCAGGTCTCTAACTTCTAAGCCATTTCTCTAGCCAAGGTACAATTGAAGCCACTGAAGTTTTTTTTTTATTTTTATTTATTCTTCCTTTTTTTTTTTTTTTTTTTTGGTCTTTTTGAGACAGGGTCTCCCAGTAGCCCCAGCTGTCCTGGAACTATGTAGACCAGGCTGGCACTTAAGAGATCCACCTGCCTCTGCCCCCCAAGTGCTGGGATTAAAGGTGTGTGCCGCCACGCCTGGCCTTATTATTTCTATTTTACGTGTATGAGTGCATTGCCTACATGTATGTGAGTGCACCTGTGTTGTGCAATGCCGCAGGGGCCAGAAGAGGGCCTCGGATTCCCTTGGAACTGGAGTCAAGGACAGTTCATAGCCACCACGTGGCTGCTGGGAATCAAACCTGGGTCCTCTGCAAGAGCAGTCAGCGCTCCCAACTGCTGAGCCATCTCTCCAGCCCTGCCACTGAAGTTTTTTTGTAAATTTTATTATTTTTATGTGTATGCATGTATTGCCTGCATGTAGGTAAGTGCACCCGTGTCGTGCAATGCCCGTGGAAGTCAGAAGAGGCTGTTGGATCCCCTGGAACTGGAGTTAGGACAGTTGTTAGCTGCCATGTGGGTGCTGGGATTCAAACCCGTGTCTTCTGCAAGAACAACCAGTGTTCTTAATCACTGAGCCATCTCTCCAGCCCTACCACTGAAGTTCTTAACACAGTGGGGACATATGTGCCTTCTATCTTACCATCTCTTTGCTTCTAAAACTAAGAATGGACTAAAGGGCCAGGAAAGCAGCAGGAAGATGGGCACATCTGGATGAGAGCAGTGGGGGCAAGAAGGAAGCAAATCTTCAATAAATCTTGAAGGTAGAGTCACCACGATTTCCTGGAGTGGCCTTGGCCAAGGTCCTCTTCAAATCCCCAGAAACCCTATAAAGAATTACACTTTTTCCAATAGTGGGAGTCCAGCTCATCCACAGCCCAACAGGTCTACCCACTTACCCCAAAGACAAAGCCACATTCTGACCCTATTTCCCAACATTTAATTAGGAAAAAACATTACACCAACAAAGAAAAAGTCATGCAACAAAAGAGAGGACTGCGGGTCGGGGACCAGAAGACAGGGCCAGACTCCTCAGAGGAGGCAGGAGACGCAAAACGGTAAGGCACTGCCACCTAGACCCTCAGAGTGGGCACACAACAGGGCAACTGAGGTGTCCAGGGCTAGTGCCTACAACACTGAGGAAGTTTGGCAGTAGGGCCATAAAGAGGACTCCAGAGCCCCAGGCCCACATCAGGCCCCAGCACAGCCTCGTTACAGTTCTCTCAGAAACAACAGGCCCCATGAAAATGTGGTCTGACTCCTGAGATGTCTGAAAAGGAACAATGGCCTGGCCTAGCCCAGCCAATCTGAGGGCAGTTTCAGGTGCATTGTCCCATCCCCAATGGTGCTGGCACTCAGGCTCTATTCTTAGGATGAGTGGAGCCTGCCACAGCAAAGGTAAGGTGCCAAAAGCTGGCAGTGTCACAAACGAACCAGGACAGGTGGCAGGGCCCAATCAAGGAGAGGGTCCATGAGGCTGGCAACATCCCATGGGGCACGCATATTTACATATGGAGAGCGAGGTGGAGTAAGGTTAATAAATAGGTGGATGGGGTGTACAGAGCAAGGAGGGCAGGGGCTCTCCTGACACAGGGGCACAAGGGCAAGAGGTTGGGGGGTATTGCTGCTGCTGGTGGGGGGGGCTTGGTCCTGTCACCTCCTTCCCCTGCAGGGCCCAAAGCAAGGCACTAATGAAGGGGGCCCAGTTGTCATGGGGGCATCTTGGCCTGGTGACCTCCCCGACACCAGATCTGGGTCTCAGCCCTGGGGACCCAGGCACTCCCCTGGCTGGGAGGATGGCTCAGAAGTGAGAAGCCCCCTCCTCATCAACTCCCCCCTTCAGCTGCTGCTAGACACCAGGCTGATGATCTGCTCCAGCTTCTGTCGCAGCTTGTGCTTCCGACAAGAGGCATCTCGGTCCAGCGAGGTGAGGATCTGGGGGAAGAGGGTCCACTGGAGCCAGACTCCAAAGCAGGGTCCTACTCCTGTGCAATTCCCTTGCTTCCCAGCTGGGCTCTTCTCTGCCCAACTCATGCTCCAAACCTCTCACCTCTCAGCAAAACTACCTACTTCTCCTTGACCAATACCCTCCAACTACTGAGCTTCCTGCTATCCATGGTTCACATGTGGACCCTCCCAAGAGTGGACTGCTCTTGCTGTTGCTGACTTCTGTTCCCTTCCAACCAATACTACTTTAGGGGCTCCAAGATCTCCCTGGCAAATCTGGCAGACCTGGACATTCCAGACTTTTAAACCTATGCAGGGGCCTCTCTTGGGCTGCAAGGCTGACTCCACCAGACACCCCTCCCTAGCCCTCTGCCAGTTCCCTCTCTCCTCTTGGACCTGAGGGGTACAGGACTCTGCTTGGCCCAATCTCCTCCTATAGCTCCTTGGTGAGCTCCTCAGCTCAGGGCTTTTATTTTTTCTGTGTTTATAGTGTATTTGTGTGTACAAGTGCGTATGTGGGTAAATATGAACACATGTATGGAGGCCAGAGGTCAATGTTGGGTGCCTTTATCATTCCACTTTATGTTTTGAGACAGGGTCTCTCACTGAACCCAGAGCTCACTGATTGGCTAGACTGGCAGACCAATGGGCTGTGGGGATTGGCCTATCTCTACCTTCCAAATCCTCTCTAGCGCTGGGGTTATAGATGCACGCCACCATATCTGCCTTTTTTACATGGGTGCTGGGGATTCAAATTCAGGTCTCCATGCTTGCATAGCAAGCACTTTACCAATGGAGCCATTTCCCTCAGCCCCCGATTAAGGAGCTTTATATTCTAACTATTGGCCCCAGATGTGTATCTCCATTCCAGACTTATTTTTAATCCATACTCCTATACCCAGCTGCATACTTGTCATTTTAAGTCTACTTAGCTGAAGAATAGTACTTAGCTCAGCTTTCCCAGGCTGACCCAATCAACCTTGGCAGCATCCCTGCCACCCATCCCAAGAGGGCTCAGCTTCCCCCAAAGGCTTCAGTACTTTCTATGGATGGCCTGAGTAGTTCTGAAGATTCCAGGTCTTTGTCCCCTGGCCTTTATATGATTGTTCTACCTACAGTCTTTCCAATTTGTTTTTACAGCAATGGACCTCATCCTATCAGCTGCTTAGGTGTAAGCCCTGCAGTCATCCTCGACTCCTCTTCTCCTTGTGGCAGACACCCAAACAGACCCTCAGACGAGTATGAATCCTGCTGTCCACAGCCTCATGTTCCCCTGTCTACTGGCATCTTTGACCACAAACTACACAGGACATGCTAATGGCTGGCCCCAGCCACCTCCAGCCTCACTCTTCACACCTTGGCCTATCCCTTCTAATTTTCTAACCCCCAAATTTTCATCCACTGGGAACTCTCTGCTCCCACCAGTGGCTTCTCTCCTGTGTTCCTCAAATCCCAGTGTCTAGGGAGATTTGTCATCTGTGCTGGCCCTGGGCCCAGACAAGGGAGGGACTATACATAAGCTACAAGATGGGATCTCTATCCTGTCTCCCCCACATCCTTGTATCATTCCTAGACCCATCAACCCACCTGCCTTTGCCCCCTACCCATACCCTCAGAATCATGCAACTGGGGGTTTGTGGGGTATACCAACACACCTCCTGGCGGTACTTGGTAACATAGAAATAGAGCTCGCTGAGTGCACTTAGGACATTGAAGTCACTGGCATGGAGGCGGGACTGCTCCACTAGGTAGGCATCCATGTCCTGGTCACTGATGGACGCCATCTTTGCGATGTCTCGGTAGTACCTGTTGAGACCCTAGGTAAGTCAATCACGCACATGTTGAAAAAGCCAAAACTCCTGTCTTCAGTGTTTGGCCAGCCTCTGGAGCTTTTTCTTATATCTGACCAGCCTCAGACTGCTTGCCTAGGCATGGTAGCTCCTGCCTGCCATCACAGACAGCAGTCTCCCCATGCCCACCTCTCCACCCAGCTCTTGTAGTTGGGGATGTCCTTGGCATAGAGCAGCTTGTTGGAGGGTGAGTCCTTGCCCAGGCGGTGCTCTGATGTGGAGCAGGAGTCCATGAAGGTCTGGGCCACCACTGACAGGCAGGCGTCTGTAATGCTGTTTTTATGGATGTCGAAGACGAACTGAGGGTTCTTGATCACATTCACCCAGAAGCGCAGAGGCAAGCTGAACAGAGGGACGCACACTCTAGACTCCTTAGTGGCCTTATGGGCCTCATTCCCCCCACTGCCCTCCTTCACACCTTGTTCCTGTCTGGCCAGCTCATGTCCTGAGGTGACAGGAGAGACACATTTAGGGCAAATGGCTTTTTTTTTAAGTTTCTGGTGGACTCAGGCAATGAGAAATAAGAATACATGTCCCGCCGGGTGTGGTGGTGCACACCTTTAATTCCAACACTCGGGAGGCAGAGGCAAGTGGATCTCTGCGAGTTCAAGGCCAAGCTTGGTCTACATAGGGAGTTCCACGCCATCTGGGGCTACAGGGAGACTCTGTCTCAAAAAAAGACCTAAACAAAAACCAAACAAAACAAAAAAATAGATGTCCTTTTGTCCTTAAAACCCCTGCAGCTTCCACTGTGTCCACATGTGCCAAGCCACCATAACTCTACTCTGTACAGGGCCCTAGAGAAAAACGGCCACATTCCAGTGCTAGACTCACTACCCACTTCCAACCTACACACCCAAGCAACAGCCACCTTCTGCAGACTCACGCTCAGTCCCAGACCAAGTCATTGTTCCATCCCTCCTGCCTGGAAGGCTATTCAGCTGCTGGTTACCCTGCCTCCACAGGCTCTGGGGCTTGGCCAAGTCACCAGCCTCTGCCTCCCACCTATCCTCAGAGAAGCCAGCAGCTGCCAAGCACAGGGAGGTACCAGTTGCTCTTCCAGGTGTGGCGCACATCAGGGTCACTGATCTGGCGCTGGTCGGCCTGCTCATCCAGGAAGTCGAACATATATTTGATGGCCAGAGGTAGGGCTGAGCCCCGGTGGGCTGTGCTGAACACAGTTTCAAAGAGATCATCCACAAACTTCTGCAATGTACCCTATGGGTGACAGAAAGGGAACTTGGTCAGTTAGTTCCCCAAACCCAACAGACAGGGGCAGAAAAGTTCAGTAAAGAGGAACTTCCCTGAAGGGCCAGAACCCATGAAATAAACCTGCCCTCAATCTCAAGCCCAGAGGTCCTAATGCAAAGACACTGAAAAAGTAGCCCCTGTCCTGCAAAACCAGGTCAGCTCAGGGCCAAGACTAGGCTAGGTGTTTCGGCAATGCCAAAGGGCCCAGGGCAGGCTCATACCTTGGTAGCCAGCAGTCGTGTCAGATATATCTCTGAGACCATCTTACTGCCACGGTCCCCCTCTCGGTGATCAGCATGGTCATGGTTCTTCACCAGGTGCCACAACTTGGTGCCTGCCTCCTGGTCAGGTGTGAGCATGGGTGCTCGGGAACGGAGGCTATCTGGGCTACTAGCAGCACGGAGCAAGCTCTCTAGGGCAGAGGACCAATGTGACCTTTAGGCCCTTGCCATTACCTACCCTCTTGCCCCACTCCGTCCTGGGAGCCCAGCAGCCTTTGGGGACCCATCTACTCTTGCCACCCCTCTTTGCTATGGTCTACAGAATTGGAGACCACTCAGAGGCCCAACCCACAAAGGCTTTCAGGGTCAAGCCAGGTACTAAGAGCTTCCCAGGATGGCTTATATAGCTTTAAAGGGCACAAGACAGGGTCATCAGAGGCCACCATGCTGAGGATACCTACCGTATCGGCTGAGGGAACGGGTGAAAGTGAAGGAGTTGGCCATGTTATAGGCAGACACTTGTTTGGGCACCAGTGCCACTAAGGAACCATCTGTCACCTGGAGGTCCCAGAGACAAAGAAGGAGCAGTGCAGGAAGCCAAGGGGCCACTGCCCACCCAGATACTTCAGTTCGCACATGCATGGCAACATCTAAAACCCTAAGAGGAGGGCTCCTGAGTACAGGGACAAGGGTTGAGATGAACTGGAGCCACCGAGCCTAGGTGGGCCTGGGATTAATAATCTCCTAGCTCCTCACCTGGTAGTGGGCTAGTGAGTTGACTCTTTTCCAGTCACACTCGATCTTTGTAGTGACGTCCTCGTCCTGGAGGATGATGCGGGCCATGCGGCCCTGGCGCCATTCTGCAGGCCACAGTCAGCCCTTAGGGGCATTCCCCTCAAGGCCTCAGGCCCACTCCTCTTAACGAACAGAGCTCAGGTGCAGAGTTTGAGAGCCCCCTGGGACAGGGTGGATAGGTGAGGGCCAGGAAGAGAGGGAAGAGCCTCACCCAAATCCATGTCTTCAGCTTTGGGTCGCTGAGAATACGGGATACCCTTGTACACAGTATCCAGCAGTTTGTCTTTGGCTTGAGTGATGCTGTCACAGTTCAGAACCTTCACTGGGACCTGGGCACTACCCTCACTCTCTGGGCATATACAGTGCAGGGTCTAAAGGTGAAGGAACCCCAGCATCAATCCTGAGCAAAGCTCCTCTACACCAGTCTCCTGACCACTTGGCCCCATGCTCACCAGGGTCTTGTAGTCAATTTGCTGCCGGATGAGCTTGTCCTCACTCAGGGAGTAGCGGGCCTCGCCTGTGATGGCATCAATGGGGCCTTTCTCCATCTGCTGCTTGATGGCGCAGTATAGCAAGAAGAGTGGCTCCCCTGCGCACTCCTGCAGCCAGTGTTAGGGGCACAGCTGACTGCCTGCCTGGCCCACCAACGAACTGCACCAACCCCAAGACATTCCTCCCCTGTTGCCCAGCCCACCAAACACACCTTCAGAAACTTATGCAGCAGAAATGTAAACCAGTTGGTGAGCATCTTCTCGGCCACTGACTCAGTCCTGCAGCAGGAGATGGATGCTAAGGGTGGCCTGGCAAGGGTGGGGCTTGAACAGAGGGTGGGACCAGCAGCAGGCAATGGAGGGATGGGCTGGAGGCAGAGTCAAACAGGAGAGTCACACACCTGCGCAATAGCAGCTTTGGGTGGTTCTTGCTCTCGAGATTTTTCTCTATGAGGTCTGCCAGCAGCTGCTTGAGGAGCCCAGTGGCATAGTCAAGCCGGCTCTGCAGGGCCACCATGGTGAGTGAAGCCACAGTGCCACGGTCACGCATGGAAAAGCTGCTCTGTGCCTCCAGAGTGTGGATGAAGGTGAGCAGGAAGGCGCGGCTATGTAGCAGCTGGCCAAATAGGCGCAGGGCCTTCTCCACATTGGGGGGAGTCTGTGGGGACCAGGGAGTTTCAAAGGGTGGGTGGGGTGGCTCTAGTGGAAACAGGGCATGGACAGGCTGCATGGTGGGCGGGGGGGGAGTGGCTCACATCCAGCTCCTTGAGCACAGGGTGGGCCTCAATGCCAGGGAAAAGCACCCGCACAGCATAGGTCCGGTAATCCAAGAAGGGAATCTGCACACCATCCATGTGGTTTGTCAGCTCATTAATGTCTGTCTGCAGCTCAGCAAAAGCTGGGGAGAAGCAGGGTGGAGTGAGCTGAGCAAGACGCAGGGAGACCCCTCAACTTTCATGCATTGTGGCACACCCTCTGCTTCAGGCACCTTCCTTGCACTCCAAGGCCACACGGGACTCTAGGTTGTCCATCTGTAGCTGGAGCCGCTTGAGTGTGCGGTCTGCATCCTGAGTCTTGCGCTTGTAGGCGACCAGCACAGCAGTGATGGCCAGCAGCAAGACTCCGCCCCCTGCTGCCAGCCCCACCATTGCTGGCAAGGTCAGCGCCCGATCAGCTGTGATGTGCAAGGTACCCAGCCAGAACTCCAGGCCTCCCACCAGAACCTGTAAGGGTAGACTTGAGGTGAGCCAACTCCCATGCCCACCCAAAGCCGCCCTGGTGGTCTCCCAAGCCCACACTCACCATGACAGGCTGCCGGCCAGTCTGGCTGGGGGAGTCACATAGAAGTTGAGTGTCTGAGACAGTGAGTGCACATGGCTGTCCTCCGATGAGCACTGTGTAGTTGAGGCGAGAGCTGCCAGCTGCAGCAGGAATCAGGTTCTTGCCCTGGTAGTGGATGACCCCCACAGTCAGTCAGGCTCCCCAGCTCTCTGTCCCTCCACTCCCTACCCTATCCCCAGCACCTTCAGTACAACATGCGAGCCAGGTTTGACATCCAGCACACCAAGTGGCTCAAAGCTGGGGTCAGGGTAGTAGGTAAAGGAAGAACGATTGAGGGAGCGGGCTGTCTGCACGTGGTCTAGCAGGAAGCCAAACTCATCAGGGTGCTCGCCTTGGGCCCGAGGCTGAGGACGGCCAAGGAAGATGCCAGGGGCTTTACACAGCATTGCAGTGTCATTGATCACCTGGCATGTCTGTGGAGAGAACAGTAATCACCCAGGGCATAAAGCCATGAGTAAGCAAGGGTGGGGCAGGTTTGGGGAAGTTGCTACTCACATTGGTGGTCTCGATGCCACGGTACTTGGCCCGTACCCGGGGCTCTTGCACCGTCAGCAGATGGGTTCCACTCACAGTGATGGCGGTGCTTCCACTGCAGAGAGGGGTAAGGCTTTCAGGTTCCCTCTCCCATCTAGCCCTGTAGGGTTATCAAGGTTCTCCAGAAAGCCCAAGGCCTCTGACACTGCATCATCCAGGATGAGGCAGGCTCTGTGCAGTCAGGCACAGATCTGTGCCCCCTACTGATGATAGAGTTCAGGCTTAAAGGAGGAATCACTTGATGTCCAAGGTCCCAATAACTAGGTGAGGCTCCAGGAGAGAAGCTCAGGGACCCAATTCAGTCCTTAACCCCATTCTCCCCAGGGTCTCACTTGATGATACTCCAGGTGGGCTCAAGATGAGTAACAGTAGGGTCCTGAGTATAGGTGTAGATGACTCCAGGGCTGGAGATGTTGGCATGGTCGATGGCAAGGGTGATGGGGGCCTGACTGGGGCCCAGGGTGGAGACAGGTGAGATACATACAATTGCCTCAGCGTCTCTCCTACATGGGTAAACAGGGAATCTTGAAGCAGGCAGTCTGGCACCTTCAGCCACCTCACCTCATAGCCCTCCACACAATAATAGCTCAAGGCTATTAGTGCCCAGGCCTACCTCACGAACTGGCACTCGCCATCTCTCACAATCACTGTGACCCTGCTGCCAGCATCCAGAGAGGTTCCAGAAATGGTGAGCCGAGTGCCCCCAGAAGCTGGGCCCCGAGTAGGGTTCACACGGTCAAATGTTGGGCTCTAGGAGAGAAGCAGTCCTGAAGGAAGGGAGGAGCCAGCCCTGTCTGAGGGCCACTCCACATTCCCATAGATAGGACAGGGGAAGACTGGGAAAGGGGAAGGAGGTGGCAGGCTACGCACCACAAAGCTATACAGCTGCTGGGACTGTGTGCGGAAGTCAGCGGAACAGTCACCTACACAGAGCTCAGCAGGTCCCGGTGCTGGGCTGGGCACTAGAGACTCTTCCATCTCACATACGATCCTAGAGGTCAGAGAAGGTCAGGGCCAGCCATGGTGCACAGGGATGATATGCCCACGTGACCACACTCACCTCTCAGCACTGACGTATTCAGTGGGGATGGAGTTGCAACGCACACCAGCTACTCGCAGGCCAACCTCCCGGGAAGTGAGGCCCAGGTTCTCACCCACAATGGTGACCCGGGTGCCTCCCTCCTTGGGTCCCATGAGTGGATAGATCTGCAGGATAAGAGGTGAGACATTTGGCCCAGGCTCATGTGAGCCCAGGAGGCAAGGCAGGGTTGGTGGGGAAGACTAACCTGGGTGATGCGGGGATGGCTGCACCGGGCACCCTTCTGATTTGGGTGCATCCAGTTGCTCTTGGGGGCTGGGCAGTGGGCCCGTAGCTGGCACCTGTGCTCCGATATGCACCAGCCACAGTTGAAGCGGGGATCAGCCTTGAGGCACAGGCCACAGCTGGGCCGCTGGGCCCAGCACTTGTATAGGAGGGCTGCAGGCACAGGGTACTGCTGATGGGGCAGGTAGTGGCAAAGAGGTGGGAGGTTCTACAGCCTCCAGACTTGCCCCCAGCAGTGCCAACCCTGACCCAGGAGCCATGCTCTTTGGCCCTGCATTACCCCTCACCTCGGAAACTGGGAGGCTTATCGATGGGGAAATCTCCGTCCCAGACCACAGAGAAGTCCAGTTCTGTGTCACCAAACTCATCACCTTCATAGGAATACTACAGAAAACAGAAACACATGATCACAGATAAGATGAGCAAAACCTTCCCTGAATGCAGGAATTCTGACAAGAGACTCAGATCCCTGCCAGGGCTATCAGAGGTTTCCAGATGAACTGGGCATAGACCAAAACCATCCCTGTCTGTCCCACCCTGGGCCTCACCGAGGCATTCTGGCACTGTACACTGCTACTGTTGAAGCGCACAGCAGGCACTCGCTGCTGCCGCCCCTGTACACGGACCACACACTCATAGTTCTTCTGGCCTGACTGAGGTTGTGGTAAGTTCTTAGCCCGCAGGGTAAGAGGCTGCATGACGCCCACGGGGATCAAGAGGTCTCCTCGTGGTAGAATCTCAGGGCAGCCCTGGGAGGAGAACACCTGTCAGAGGCACACTGCCCACCATACTTCTCCAGGTCCAAAGAAACGGGAGCTCAAACAGAAAAGCAAGAGGCCAGCCCCCAAGGAGCCCAGCCCCCTTGGATCACGTGGGACCACCTCACCTCAGGGCTGTGAACCCTGCCCTCCTGGAAGGAACACTCCTGTGGGTGGCTGGTACACACATGGCGGTACTTACACCAGTGACAGGGGTAAGGGCTGCCGACGCAGGACATACACCTAGAGGGGAAGTGGCTTCAGAGACACAGAGAAGACCACACTGCCTTGTACCACCCTCCCAGAGGACACACTGGAGAAGAGATGAAGAAGGCTGGAAGGTCCTGCCCAAGGCCTACAGTGCACATCAGGAATGCACAGAAGTGGGATTAGAACAGGAAGACCCAACAGCTCATCCATGAAACCCCAGAGACTGACACCTGTGGGTTTTTTTAATATATTTTATTTATTATTTTTATTTTTATGGTATGAGTGTATTGCTTGCATGCATGTGAGTGCACCCGTGTCGTACAATGCCTCGGAGGCCAGAAGAGGGCATCATTCCCTTGGAACTATAGGATTGTTAGCTGCCATGTGGGCACTGGGTTTTATTTTTATGTGTATGAGTGTATTGCCTGCATGTATGTGAGCGCACCCGTGTCATGCAATGCCTCAGAGGTCAGAAAAGGGAGTCGGATTCCCCTGGAACTGGAGTTAAGGACGGTTCGTAGCTGCCATGTGGGTGCTGGGACTCAAACCTGAGTCCTCTGCAAGAGCAGTCAGTGCTCTTAACTGCTGAGCCATCTCTCCAGCCCCCACCTGTGGGTTTTATACATCCCAAAGCATCTATCTGTCCCCAGGGCTAGGGACAGATGCTGGACCAGATACTCACGACTGGAGGGCACTGCAGTTGTAAAAGACAAAGTCAGCCCCAGCAAACTTCATGCCAGTCTCCTTGGAGAACAGCTGCAGTCGCACAGTGCGAGTAGCCCCTGCAGCAAGTCCGATGGCCATCACCAACCCGCCTTGGAATCCCACCCTGCCCCACCCTACCAGATGGCCCTAGCCCACTGACCATGTCCCCTGGTAAGAGCCTGGAGCTCCTGAAGGGACGGTGAAAGGCAACGTAGCTCTCCAGAGGGCAGCAGGACAGCTTCACTCTCTGTCACCTCCTCAAAGGCACAGCTGACACCAGCACTGAGGTCTGGCACGTTGCGCATGGCTACAGTCAGCTGGGGGAGGCAGAGGGCTCAGAACAAAGCGCACCACCCCAATGTAGCATACATGGGCTTAAAAGCACCCTCTATGTCACTTACCTGCACCCCAGGGGATGTCACTGACACATTGTTAGGCCGGACCCGCACCTGTACACATTTGCTCAGCTCCTCTGCAAAGCCATGTGGGGCAGAAGCACCTGGACAGGCCCCTTCTCGACAGCACCTGCAGAGGGACAAACCAGAGTTGGTCCCAGCACTGCCCTAGCAAGGCCCAGGTGGGGGTACAGTAAGAGGCTGGGGGGGTAGGGGACAGCCTACCCAGCTCACAGTGCCAGGCAACAGTGTGCCTTGGCCTCATCCCCTGGGATCCAAGGGACGTCACTCAGGGTAGAAGCTCCGCTCATTAGCTGAAGAAAGTGGAGGAGGGAGGGAGAGGGATGCTCAAGGCATGGCTAGGGAGAAGGGGGCAGGTGGGTAAAGGCAGGCACAGCAAGTGTGGCTGGCTCCTGTCCAGCTGGCAGGGCCCTCCTAAGTCCTTCTGTCTCCCAAGATAATGGCCCCAGGGAGCCCGTTGCTGCCCCACGTCCCACACCCACAGCCCTCACCTGTGCTGTAGCACACACCAACCACAGTGTGGGTCCCCCGAGCCCAGGCATGCAGCGCAGCTCAGATACTGCTCACAGGTCTCCACCGGGAGCTGGCTCACCTGGGGACAGCCACATCAGCACCCAGCCCACCCCTGCCCCACCACCCACCACCACCCATCGCGGGCCCACCTGCTTCTCACTCAGGAGGTAGATGTGCCGGTGGTCAGGGCTGAAGAGTAGGTCTCGGAGTATGGGGCTGCCCTCCACCACAGGGACTGTCTCATACAGCTGGGCATCCTGAGAGCCATCAACCCGCACCTGAGCCATAAGACCAGGGCAGAGGGATGACAGGTTAGCTTCGTGCCATCACAACCCCCTGCATCCACAGCATCCTTTTCAACAAGGCACTTTCTAGGTTGTAGCTGAGCTAAAGTGAGGGCTACCTTGAGCCTAGCACTCAACCTGCAGGCCCATGGCTTCAGCAGCCACAGCTTCAGGCCAGGGAAAGCAGAGTGCAAAGTTGGTTGCCTTGGAATCAGGCAAAAATGCTGAAGGTAGGTGGCAGAGGGCCCATCCAAGGAGCAAGACTCAGCTCTTGGGGCCTAACCTGGGAAGTCCCTCTACCCTATCCAGAGTCTTCCAGGGCTCATGTACACATTCTGGCTCACAGCCCTTCTTTCTGTAGTACAAAGAATGTTCCCATCCCCATAGACCAAGGGTTCCAAGACCTACCTTCTTCAGACTACCGCTGCGTGTACCAATGAAGACCACAGAGTGCTGGTGATAGGTATAGGCAGCCACACTGGCCATGCCATCAGTGCTGTCAGCCAGTAAGGGCAGCCCCTCAATCACATGGAGACCACCCAACGGCTGGTTCAACACCAACCCACAGAAGTTTCCATTGATCTGCATAGGCTGGTGACACAAGAGGGAGCATGTGAGGGTCCAAGTGAAACAGGTGCTATCAGACCCCAAGTTCTCTAAGAGAATGGGACCTGGAAGACACCGCCCTAAGTCATGCCTGACAGCTTGCCCTAGACCCCCACAGGAAAATGGGACTGGATAGGAAGAGCGGGGAGAGGAGAGAGAAGACTGAGCCTGCAAGACTCAAGATGGAGCAAGCAGGAACAAGGTGGGAAGCGATATAGGGACAGGAAGAGGAAGGTGGCAGTATACAGATAGGACACTGGCTAAGACATAAGAAGACAGGAGACTCTTAAGAAAGGAAAAAATGAGGGCTCAGTGGTTAAGAGCACTGGTTGCTCTTTCAGAGGACCTAGGTTCGGTTTCCAGCACCCACATGGTGGCTAACAACTGTCTATAGCTGCAGTTCCAGGGGATCTGGCACACCCTCTTCTGACCTCTGCCAGCATTGCATAACACGAGTGCACTTACATACACGAAGGGCAATACACTCGTTCACATAAAATTTTTTAAAAATATTTTAAAAAGAAAGGAAAAAATGGGTATCAGAACTAAGGTGACACCCCCGGGACTCTGCCAAGCCTCGATGGCCAGTCCAGTCAAGGGACAGAAGGCCAGTGGAGCTGCTAAGTTTCGCACAGAGCTAGCAGGGTAGGCAAGGGGCTCACAGTGTTGATGCATAGCAGCTCCTTATTGAGCAGCCAGGGGAGGGCCAGCGTGCCCTCCCCACGGTAGCATGACTGGATACGGTGCCGGATGTGGGCATTGATATTGCTGAGGGTGAAGAGGCAGAGGATGGTCTGCCGAGGTGGGCTGGCTCGATTCTTCTGGCCCTGAGAGAAGATGGTGAAAAGGACATCCTCGTCGGCTGGTATGCCCAGGGCCTGGGCCAGCAGCAGGCCAGGCTTGGCCAGATGGGCACTCTGTACCAAGCGGTACTCAACACCACGCCAGGAGCAGCCAATGGGGAACTCTACATATGAGTAGAACTCTGAGTCCCCTGCACACATGCGCACGATCTTGGACGTGAAAAATTTCTCGCCTGCCGTATCCAGCAGCGTCTGCTGGGTGTCCAGCTGCAGCGTCAGGAAGTACACGAAGGAGGCACTGACAAAGCCATATATGTAGTAGATGTCAAAGGCAGGGTACAAGGACAGTGTGTCTGAGGGAATCTTGATCTGAGAGGAGACAAACTCATCTTGGTACACCTGGGGAGTAGGGCAAAGTAAAGTGTGGAATGAAGTCTGGGGCTTGCTCCCCACTCCACCCTGACCTCCCAACCCTGCTCTAACAATGTGGTCTACCAGGGGCTTCCCTCATGGTCTCCCACCTTCCCTGCCCGGACAATTACAGGAACCCACATGACAGACAGCAGGCTTCCCACAGGTGAACTCTGCCTATCTTCCTGTCCTCAGTAGCTGGTCTACACCTCTGTGACAGTGAAGCACCACAAATCCCCCCTCTTCAACCAGGGCTTTACCAAGGAATGGGACTGAAGGAAACGAGTGGATAAGGGTCAGGCTCAGAAGAGGCAGGGGAAGGAGGGCAGAAGAGACAGGCATGGCTCACCCACCAGACTGAACATATCTGCACTGTCCTCATCGTCGATGAGCTTGCGAGAGCTCAAGGTAGGAAAGTACTCAGACTTGCCATCAACAGCAGTGCCCACAAACAGCTTGCTAGGCCCATGGCCTTGCTCCACAATGACGCCAGCCATGGAGTCAGGCTCCTGGGCCCCTGACAGGTAGTGCTCCTTGCGGTGGTGGGGCTCACCCAACTTGAAGAGGTCATCCAGGCGTAGGAACTGGCAGATGCCCTGCCAGATGCTGCCACAGGCCACCAGGCGATGGGCTGCATAGTCTATGAGGAGCAGCTTGTTCACATTGTCCATAGGCACCAGGTGGTGGGCACATACACGCATGCTAGGGGGCGGATAGCAGCGAGCGTTGTCTTCAATGGGCCCTGTGACATGTGCCCGCAGCTCAGTCAGGTTAGGAGCCAGCTTGAAGACTCGGTTGACTGCACCCACAAATACCTCCCCAGTCACTCGGTGCACAGCTAGGTGGGTCAACGTGGTATCTGTTACCACAAAGGTACGGAAGGGCCTGCTGCTACCCAGGCACCCTCCTATGGTGAGGAACAGCAGCCGAAAAAGGCAGACAGTGGGCATGGCCAGCAGCTATTCCAGGGACAGGCCTGAGGAGAGAGCAAGTGCAAGTCAGAGGCCCCAAGCCCAGCATGCTCTCCCTCCTCTTGCCCTGCCTGGCCCAGGGTCCCTGGCAGGCTACACTCCATACCACAGGGGACCAGGGCCACTCCCCCAACACCATGACAGAGCCCCAGATGGTGACTGAGGCTGGGACAGGGGAGGGGCCTCTGATAGGGGGACTGAGTGAGTGGCAAGTACAGGCAGGCTTGGGGACCATCAATCATCCCCCACCCCTCGCACTGGAAAGAAGCCAGGAGGCCTTGCCTCAGCTGGGCCACACCCAAGGGGGCAGCAGAGCCAGATGCTTGAAAAGATGAAGTGAGAGGCCCTCCCAGAACTGAGACCCAAACATTACATCCCTGGGCTGAGCACAGCCAGCAGTATAGAGAGCTTCCACAAGGAATCCCCAGACCCCAGATACCCCATGCCTGGGAAGGAGAAAGGCAGGCAGAGAACAATCACAAGCTAGGAGAGGGGTGGGGATGCTTCCCCAAGTGACACCAACAACAGGAGTCCTGGGGCAAAACTCTGGAGAATCAAGTCCTGAGGCTGGTTTCAGTGCCACCACATCTCCTGTTCCTGGCCCCAGGTGCTTCCTCCCCCAAGGGCCTTGGCTGGCTATCCAGGAGTCTGCTGTCTGGCCTCCGGGCTGCAACACAAAGCCCAGACGCATAGGGAGACAGACATAAGTCAAGCTTTGCTTAGGCACCAGTAAACAGATGCTCTGGCAGGCCTGTGTTGTTTTCCCTGAAGATCCAGAGGTTAGCCAGGGAGGGGTCGGGGCAAAGGGAGCTTCCCCAACCCTTGAGAGTCGGAGGAGCCTTGTGTATAGGAAGCAACATCCCAAAATACAGTTGAAGCTTGGGGATATGGGGCCCGGGACCACAGGGATAGGGTCAGTGTTGGCACTTCACCCCCAGGCCACACCCAGCCAGCCCCAGGCTGCAAAGACAGCAGAGCAGTGTCTCAGCAGCCAATGGGGCAGAGCTCAGTGTTACCCAGTCAGTGCCCAATCCCCAAGGGACACAGGAGGGATTTAGCAAAGGAGGAGGGGTGTGGGAAACCAAATCATGAAGTCACAGCACAGAGAAAGGAAAACAGGCATTTTCGAGAATAGGGAAGAAGCCCAGCTTAAAACAGCAAAGTTTCAGATCAAATTGATCATTTCTCTAGGGCTCTTTTGTCAGGTCGGCATCCCAGACCCGGAATCCAACAGCCAAGAAGAAAGGACAGCAAGAGAGAAAATCGGCTGCATCCTGCGCTCACCTCCTTTACGTCTTGCAGAAGGAAATTGAGGAAAAGGCCAGAGACAGGTTGGGAATGAGACCTGGAGAGTCCTGATTTGCAGCCCAGGACCCCACCCCTGCCCCCACCTTTAAGTGGCAACCTCGGGCGCACCCAGCCCCTCTGCTAACAGCCCTGCCAGCAGAGAACACGGTGATGAGGAAAGCTCTATATAGATACTGGGTCCGAAGCCCGCTCCTCCACAATGCTTTCCACTGTACCGCGGGCCCAGCCAGCCCTTCCCCCATCAGGGGCACCCTTCGGCAGACCCGCGGGGACCTTAGTGGATGGAGGGGCAAGAGCAATGCTTAGAGGCGCTGCACCTCAGCTACAAAAGGGTGATCTCCTATCGCTCCAGGGAGCTATGCTCCACTTAGTCTTCCCTTCGCGCTCGGGGCACTGAGCACCCTGCACGGGGCTCGACGGGCAGGAACAGGGCCTGACCCCTCTTCCGATCTGGACCCCCAGGCTGTCAGAGTCCCAGCCACCGAACAGACCGCTCACGCACCGCCTGTAGGTATGGCAGCCACCTACCTGCCCCTCCGCCGCCGCTGACTCGGGGTGGCTTCCCCTGGCCACGTGGGCGCGCCCCGGTGCCTTATACCGGCCTCACTTGCGTGGCCCCAGTGCTTCGCCCCGCACCGAGCGCACTGCAGCCGCCGCCGCCCACACACTGGGCTGGACCCCGGCCGCTGGGCCTTTTAAACGCGGACTGTACCACCGCACCAGGAGGGGGCGCCCAGGGAGAACCGACCTGGGCGCCCGAGCAACGGAGCGCGGGACGGAGGCCGTTCCTCCCCGGAGCCCGCGACCCCAGTGCACGGCGCCAGCCTCGCAAGAGCCGCGGAGGATCTCCCCCAATTCTCCCCGAGAAGCGACCCCCTTCGATCAATGGCCGCGTCCGAGGCGCGCACCTCTCGACACCCCCAGCTCCGCGCCTGCTGCCTCCTGCAACCCTGGAACCCGCGCGCGGCCGCGCCACACCCCCTTGGGCTCCGAGCGCGTGCCCGCTCCTTTTCGAGCCGTGGCCACCTGCTGCGGGTGGGCGATATTGCCCCGCCTAGCCCATACTCCCTAGCGAAAATGCGAAAATTCGGCCTTAGCTTCGGACTCTTTCGCTGACGGTTCATCACCTATAGGGTTCATAACATGCAAACACCCAGCAAGAAACCTGAAGTACTGTGACTTAGTCATTTCCACCTGGCTCCTTCATCAGCAGGCCATCACGACCCTGAGTCTGGGGTTCTTACTACCTTTTTTCCCCCTTTTTAATTTTGTTTAGCACAGGCAGGCCTTAAACTCAACATCCTCCTGCCTCAGCCTCCCAAGTACTGGAAATATGAGCTTCAGCCAGCACACCCGGCATTATTTTTTTCTTTTTTGTTTGATTTTGCTTTGAGCCGGTCTCACTGCAACTCAGGCTGGCCTCAAACTCCCAGCAGTCCTCCCAAGTGCTCAAATTACAGGTATTTACCGCCAGTACTGGCTTTTCTTTTGACTTTCTTCTATTTATTTATTTATTTATTTATTTGTCTGTGTGTGTGCATGTGTGTGTGTGTGTGTGTGTGTGTGTGTGTGTGTATGTGTGCATGTGCAAGTGCCATTGGAGGCCTGAAGAAGGTGTCAGGCCCCTGGATTTAGCCTTACAGGTGGTTGTGAGTCACCATGTGGGTGCTGGGAACCAAATCCGAGTCTTCTGCAAAGGAAGCAAGTAATTTTAACTGCTGAGCCATCTCTCCAGCCACTTTTTTCTTTTTAAACAGTTTTGTCGAAATATAAGTCATGCATTTAATGTCTATAGTAACATTTTAGTATATTCATAAAGATGTGCAGCCATCAGCACTATCTAATTCCAGAACATTTTCATCATTCCAAAAAGAAACTCTCTACCACTTAGCTTTCACTCTCCATTCCCCTCTCTCCAGCAGTGGCAAGCACTTATCTACTTACTGACCATGGAGTTGTCTCTCAAATAAATGGAACCATACAATATAAATAGATGTCTTTGTGCCCATTTTTTCAATTAATGTTTTCAAGTTTTGTCTATGTTGTACCATAGCCATATACTTCCTTTTAGGGCCAAATAATATCATGTTACATGAACAAGTCACATTTTATTTATTCATTCATCAACTGGCAGAAATTTGGATTGCTTTTCCCCATTGTGCAATATGTTACTAGGAACACTTGTGTATATGGTTTATTTATTTATTTAGAGACAGGATCTCATGTAGCCCAGGCTGGCATTGAACTCCTAATCCTCCTGCCTTCACCTCTCAAATGTTGGGATTACAGGCCTGCATCACTTCTTTTTTATTTGTGTGTGTGTGTGTGTGTGATGCATGCATAAGAGTGTGTGAGTTTGTAGACCTGTGTACCCTTGTGCACGTGTGTAAAAGCCAGAGCAGAATCTCTTCCTCTCTGCCTTATTGCCAACCCCTGTATATGCCAGGGTTACAGATCCACACATAGCCACACTCAGCTTTTTATGTGGGTGCTAAGGATTCAAACTCATGTCCTTATGTTCGCAGAGCAAGAGTTCTTGCCCACTGAACTATCTTCCCAGCCCTTCTTTTTGGATTTTTGAGACATTCCTTCTATGTGGCTCTAGAACTCACAATCTAGACCACTAAATTTGGCTGGCCCTGTTAGTTTGTTTTCTGACACAAGATGTCAATATGTAGCCCAGGCTATCCTCAAACTCACAGTGATCCTCCTGCCTCAGCCTTCTGAATGCTGAGATTACAGGTTTGTGCCACCATGCCCAGCTTCCTTCCTTTCTTTCTTCCTTCCTTCCTTCCTTCCTTCCTTCCTTCCTTCCTTCCTTCCTTCCTTCTTTGTCTTTTTGAAACAGGGTCTTCCTGTAGCCCCAGCTGGCCTAGAACTCGCTATGTAGACCAGGCTAGCCTCTACCTCCCAAGTGCTGGGACTAAAGGCATGTATCACCATGCCCGGCTCTTTTATTATTTATTGATTTAGGCAGCTGGGAACTTGCTCATATGAACTTACAGCAATAGTGACAGCATGCACAAGACTCCAGTAAACTCAAATCAGACAAAAAAATTCAGTATAGAAGCCGGGTGTGGTGGCACATGCCTTTAGTCCCAGCACTTGGGAAGCAGAGATAGGTATATCTCTGTGAGTTCCAGGCCAGCTGGGACTACAGGGAGACCCTCTCTCAAAAAGACAAAAAAAATCCATATAGAAGCGGGGAAATGGGTAAGTCTCAATCTTAGCTGAGGAACTATTGGCAGATGATCACTGCTGGGTGAGAGAGAATTGGTCTTCTTTAAGGAAGAGATGCCAGATAGGATGATAATGCTTCAGTGAATGAACTCACACTGAGGGACATCTGGGGACACAAACTTGACTGGATAGGCCTTAACACATATGACAGAATGCATGAAATTTGGTGTGGGAGCTACAGGGGTACAGACAGGTGAGGGTGTCTAAATATGATTAAGATGTATTAAATGCATGAAAATTCAATAAAAAATATATATTGTATGAGAAAAAATTAAAAAGCAAACGAAATACAAACAAACTGAAACCCAAAGGGGTAGAGGTGTTATAACAAATATACAGGGGTGGACTGGGGTGTAGCTATAGATTGTTTGCCTCAAATGCAAGATGTCCTAGGTTCGATCCCCAGTACTACAAAAGAAACAGAGGGATGGAGGGAAAGAGGGAGAGAAGAAAAGAAAAAAGGAGAGAAAGAAAACCTGCAGGGTTTATTCTTGGGTAATTGCAGGGGAGAGGACTTGCTGGGTCACAGGCCGTGGTTACTCGGTATTCTCATGTAATAGCATCAGCTACAAACACTGTGGCCACCCCTCCGTAACCTGTTTCTCAGTCCCATCTTTCCCATCTTATTTGCTCAAACAGGAAGCCTAGGTGTTACTAAGTGATCCTCATGGTGATCTCCTCTAGTTCCACAGCATTGGCTAAGATCCGTCTTGAGCGCAGTACAATTTCTCTTCTTAGCCTTATAACCTCTCCTGGGAACTGCTGGTTCATAGATCTACATCTCAGCTCGGCAGCCCTACCGGACTATCTAAGTAGGAATCTCCACACGTGTATACAAAAAGTGAACTGTTCATTTTAAACTTGTTTCTCACCATGACTCTATCTCAGTATAGATTCTTCCTCTTGGTCAGCACAAAACCTTGTTGGTGGTTACCATTCCTTTCTTTCAACACCACTTCCTAGCCATGGGTAAATTTTGTCAGCTCATCCCCTAGAATCCACCTTCTCTCCAAAGCTGACCTTTCCCAGCCTGCCCAAGCCAAAAGCATACCAATCTCTTCCTTTACAACATGGAATTGCAGAAGACCTTCCTAAATCAGAAATACATAGGATCAACAAGGACAACCAGCAAATCTTTTTTAAAAAGTTTTCAGGGCTGGGTGTGGTGGCACACAACTTTAACCCCAGCAGAGGCAGGAAGATCTCTGTGAGATTAAAGGTCAGTCTAGTCTATATAGTAAGATCCAGGCCAGCTGGGGCCACGGGGGTCTCAAAAAATTTTTTTTCAGGGCTGAAGAGATGGCTCAGTGGATAAGCACTTGCCATATAAACAATAGAATCAGAGTTCAGATCCCCAGTACTCACCTAAATGCTGGGTGGGTGTAGTGGCCCGCCTGTAATTTCAGTACTCAGAAGGCAGGGACAGTTGCCTAGCCAGAGCAAGTGGCTAGCTAGACTAGTCACCAGTGAGCTCTGGGTTCAATTGAAAGACCCTGCCTCAATGAATAAGGTGAAAAACTATACCCTAAGATACATGAAAAACCAGGAATGTGTACGTTTATATTAGATAGCAAAAAGGGCTACTTTCTCTCAAATGTGGAAGGTATCTAGATTGTAGACTTTTAAAAAAATATTTTATAGCCAGGCGTGGTGGCGCATGCCTTTAATCCCAGCACTCAGGAGGCAGAGGCAGGAGGATCTCTGTGAGTTCAAGGCCAGCCTGGTCTACATAGTGAGTTCCAGGACAGCTGGGGCTACAGGGAGACCCTGTCTCAAAAAGACCAAAAAAAATATTTTATTTTTATATGTATGAGTGTATTGCCTGCATGTAGGTAGGTGCCCCACAGAGGTCAGAAAAGAGTATTGAATCCCCTGGAGTGGGAGTTATGGATGGTTGTTTGCTGCCATGTGGGTGCTGGAAACCAAACCCCAGTCCTCTGCAAGAGGAGCCAGTACTCTTAACCACTGAGCCATCTCTCCTGCCCTAGATTTTTTTTAAAAGGCCAGCAAGATGGCTTTATGGTTTAGTGGGTAAAGGCACTTGCTGCCAAACCTAAAGACCTGAATTCAATCCCTGGGACCCACATTATAGAAGGCAAGAACTCCTGGAAGTTGTTCTCCACACAGACATTGTGGCACACGAGCAACAACACACATACACATACACATATACATACACATACAAACACAAACAAAAATGGATGTAATTGGGGTCAGAGAGATGGATCAGTGGTTAAGAACACTGGCTGTTCTTGCAGAAGACCTGGGTTCTAATCTCAGCACTCATATGGCAGCTAACAACTGTCTGTAACTCCAGGGGATCCAACAGCCTCTTCTGTTCTTGGGCATTGCATGACACGGGTGCACTTACTTACATGCAGGCAATACATGCATACACATAAAATAAAAATAACAAAATATAAAAAGGATGTAATTTTATTATTATTTTTTTTGGTCTTTTGAGACAGGGTCTCCCTGTAGTCACAGCTGTCCTGGATTCGCTATGGAGACCAGGCTGACCTCAAACTCACAGAGATTCGCCTGCCTCTGCCTCCTGAGTGCTGGGATTAAAGGTGTATGACACCATGCCCGGCGGGAAAAAAAAAGATATAATTTTAAAATAAAAAAGGTCACTAGGGGCTGGAGTGATGGCTCAGTGGTTAAGAACACTGGCTATTCTTGCAGAAGACCCGGGTTCAAATCCCAGCACCCACATGGCAGCTAACAACTGTCCATAATTCCAGTTCCAGGGGATCTGACAGCCTCTTCTGTCTTCCGAGGGCATTGTACAACACAAGTGCACTTACCTACAATGCAGGCAATACACACGTACACATAAAATAAAAATAATAAATAACATATTTTTTTAATTAAAAAAAGAAAGGTCAAAGCCAGTCGTGGTGGCACACGCCTTTAATCCCAGCACTCACATGATAGCTAACAACCATCTGTAACCCCAGTTCCAGGGGATCCAACACCCTCTTCTGACCTCGAAGGGCATTGCAAGACATGGGTATATTTACACACATGCAGGCAATGCATTCACACACATGCAGGAAATACATTCATTACACATAAAATAAAAATAATAAATATGTTTTAAAAAGAGTAGCAACATGAAATAAAAATAAT